CTTGCCCATCCTGAGATGGGATCACTCGTTTTCTTCTTGCTAATACGTTTAAGTTCTCTATGGATTCTGGTTATTAAACCTTTGTCGGAGACATAACCTGCAAAAATCTTCTCCCATTCTGATGGCTGTCTGCTTGCCTTACTTACTGTGTGTATTTGTGTGTTAAACAGCCCTTTCTAGTAATTTAGCAAGTTGTAGTCTTCACATGGGAAACTGTGAACATTAGTTGAATGTCTGTAGATAGCCATGTATTAATACAACGAGAGTCCATGTGTGAGAATTTTCCAAAGCACACAGTCTTGTGATGATGAAGGACCAACATATTTTCTTAAATGAAAACACAAAACACAGCATAATAGTGTGTTAAATTTGGTGACAATAGAGCGAAACTTCTTATCCATTTCACAAGTATTTACCGACCGGGTGCAGTGGACAAGGACTGTGTTGGCTGCTGCAGACGGAGCTGCACGGTGCACAGTCATTGCCTTCAAGCCCCTTGGTGGCGATTCCACCAGGGAAGTTAGGAAGGTCCCACAAATGAGTCCCTAGCAGGAATAAGGAAAGACAGCAACGCATCTAAGAAAATCAGTTTGCTCAACCGTGTGTGCTGGCTGTCTCATTTGAAATCATCAGATCCGAGCCAGAAGATAGGCTAGAATCCTAGGTTGGAGCTGCAGAGAGGAGGCCCTCCAGGGTGGGTCAGGGGTTCTGAATAGGAAAAATAACATTCTCTGTTCAGTACAGGCTTTGGATAGCAGTGTGGACTAAAGTGAGAATACGAAAGGCCAGCTGTTAGCATTTTTGACCCTTTGCCTATCAAAATAATAAATGATGGTTTTTGCTAGTGCAGAGGCAGAGAATATAAAAAAGTGAGGATTAAAGGGGAAAATGAGGTGAAAGCTACAGCCATTGGCAAGTGGCAGGGAGCAGCCCTGGGGCGAAGGGACCCCAGATGGCACCAGTGCTTCCAGGCTGGGTCGTGTGCAGCAGGAGATGGGAAGAAGGGGAGACTTCCTGCTGGAGAAGCAAGGATGATTCTGAGATTTTCAAGTCTCACGTTATTCCTTCTGGTCATCTCTAAGGATGCAGCTGGGCCCGCAGCTGGACATTGGAAAGAGGCAAAGAGATTTCTAATAATTTCTGGGAGTTTTATAAAATGGTGTCATTAACAGGTAATAGGGAACTTCTAGAAGCCAGCAGGGTCTATCTGAGACAGCAACAAAAATTTGTGGCAGATGTAAATGATCCTAACTTATGATGAGATCCAGCAACTGGCTCAGCACTGAGCTAGAGTTAGGAATAAGTGACCCTGAAAAAGATGTAGAAGCTTACCAGTGGCCTTTGCTGCTTAGATGGCTGCACCTAAGGTTCCAGCTGTGTTGAGACCAAAAGTCTTCATGAGGTTATGGTTTTAGAGGCTGTGCAGAAGTTGAGGGAGAAGAGAGGCCCATGGGAGGGTCGGCAGGTGCAGGAAGGAGGGCAGCAGAGACCACTGCAGGGAGGGTCAGTGGTGCCTGTCTGGGCAGCGAGTGTCCTGTCCATCCTCACCCAGATACTCAAAGTCACAGAGAAAAACCCGCTGGGGGAAATCTGGGCAAGATCTTGAGCAAACATGTTCTCGCCTTGGTGGGGCTAAAGTGAAAACTAAACAGGGCACTCACAGGACGTGAGGGTGGTACCAGGCATGCTAAGAAGGCTTCCAGGAGACATCAGCTCAGCTCCTATTCATTTTCCAGAAGCAAATTGGAGTCACTAACTGCCAAAGTCATGTGGGCCTGGTGGAGGAGGGAATAACACAGGGAGACTTTCCATAGAGACAACACACACTGTTCGTAATGCCTTACACTTTGAATAACTCAGTTTGGTCTACCGAGAACTTTCATGTGTATCATATCACAACATTAACAGTATGGTTAGGTATTTTTACTCTCATTAAAAAACTGAAGCTCTGAGATAGCAAATGACTAGCCTGAAGCCACATAGCTCCAGGGTGACATTTCTTCCATGATTTCTATGGGCACTGCTCCTCCTGGCGTGGGGGGCAGGGGGGAAGGGCAGAAAGATGCCAGACGTCTGTGTTGGGGCTTCTCAACCCCAACACTTTGGGCCTTGGTGGTCAGATCCTTAGTGGGAGCTGCCCTGTGCACAGCGGAACAGTTGGGTTTGGCCTTGTCTGTGCTTAACTGTCACCCACAGTGATGACAAATAAAATGTCTCTGGACACTGGTGCATGTACCCCAGAGGCATGGTCAGCCCTGGTTGAGAGCCACTGCTTTAGTTTGTACAGAATTATCCCTATTTAACAAGGTATAATGTGTGGCCTACTGTGTCTCATGTGACAGCAGAGAGCAGCAACTCAGACTGTGCTGTCAGGAGTGGTGAAGGGCGGGGTTACAGCTGTGTAGGAAGCAGGGCTCATTAAGGTCATCTGGACTTTCTAGATTCCTTCCACTGGCCCTGGCCACACAGCCTCTTTCTTAGCGTTCTTCCTCTGGGTCTGTCCTGTGCCCTTTCCCTGCCAAGGATCCAATCCTCTCTGCACCTTCTAGGTAAGATCCTCAGGAAAGTGGCTCTAACCACTCATACTCTTAATGGTATTCACACTCTGTCCTAGGTGGGGCTCACACTCCCACCTGGGTGGAACTCACACTGTCTCATGGGTGGGGCTCAGACTCCTTTCCTAGGTGGTGCCCACACTTTCTCCTGACTGGGGCTCTCACTCTCTCCTGGGTAGGGCACACACTCCCTCTTAGGTGGTGCCCACACTATCTCCTGGGTGGAGTTCACACTGTCCCCTGGATAGTGAGGTGTCATTGGTCAGCTGCCTCCCCCTGGTTCAATCCTCATTCACTCAGGAAAGAGCAGCCTGTGATACCCTGTCTGTGTGCCATGCCCCAAGATGTAACTCCAAGAAGCAGCTGTTGAAACTGACCAGCCTTTTGATCACTGCACCCTCTAACAGGAGTAGCCACACTGGTTCTCACCACTGCCCTGGGAGTGGACAGGTGGTTAGCTGAGACTGAGAGGCCCTGGAATCATTCCCCAGCCCAGTCTAGCACACGAATGAAACCAGGCAATGTTGATATTTAAATCTATTCATAAGTAAACTACTGTGAAGAAAATTGTCTTTTGGAAAATCTAGATGTAATTGTTCCACATATTTTGTTCATTTTAAAGACTTCAGACTAACAATTTCAATGATCCAATAGGATTCATTTAATGAGGAGTCTATTTAGTTTCTCAAGCTGAAACCCCACAGTATTCCCCAAAGTCATGCTAAATCTTTTTACTTGGTTTAGTGAGTTTCTTGAGTGAGAGTTCTCGTGAATGACGGGGTCTACATGAATGTGAATTGTCGCTATTTGCTCATAAACTGGGGCATGTGCGGAGAGCTCAGCAGAGCCTTCTCTGGTTTAAAGTATAGAAAGCAGGCAGGTGATAGCTTTGAACTTTCCGGTAATGTGAACTCTAAGGTCTGGGAACACTTCTCTTATGAATAATTTAAAACTTCAGTTCTGTCGAGTTATTCTTTAAAGAAACTTATTGTCATGGTCTTATGTAATTATTAGTAATTACACTATTTTCTCTGATTCTAGGTAATGTATGACATTGTTGGAGCAATTGAAAAAAATAAAGACTCCCTTTCACAGAATCTGCTATTTGTAATGAAAAGTAAGTTGATTTTTTTTCCCTGTCCTACACTGGTTAAAATGCCACACAATGCTATTTCTTTATCTCTGAATATTTTCCTATAAAATATGCTTCTAGCTAAAGGATAATTGAAATATCTTTTGCATTCTAATGCCCAGAATAATAAGGAACAGATCTTACTACATTATACATTGGCTACAATTTAATTTGGAATCTAGTGGAAACCATAATTTAACTGAGCTTTTAGCAGATAAAAATGAAAAGCACCTTTAGTACTTTAGGGGCTGAATGTAGAAAAGCTTTCCTCTGAAGACTAATGAAGATGAATATGGATTCCAGAGTTATTTAGGCCACAGTCGGCTGAATTTCATTACTTAAGAGACTCTGGAGCTAAGGATGTAGCTCAGTTATAATGTATTAATGCTTACGACACAGAAGCCTCTAAATGAATGTAAACGAACCAGTTCATACATTCTTATCTATTTATATACACACACTTCACATCTCCTTCCACACAGTGAGCACTGATGCTTTACATACACATATCTACTATATTTCTCTACTGTATATGAAGCTGTATACCAAGTTTATATGTGCTGTAATTAAATGCATATATGTATATATGTAAGCACATATAATTCTGTCTCCTCCAGAAATTATTTTCTTTGCATTTTTGCAGTGATGTATATCCTTCCAATAACCTCTTTAACAAATTAAAACATACCACCTTTTGTCCTTTGAGTTGCTATAAATGAGATAGAGTCATTTATCTTTCCTGGTAGAAGAAGCATGTGATAGATTTTCCCGGACAGTTGACTGCCTTTGCGTTGGGAGTGAGAGGCCCACACCGTGTCTGGACTGAGGAACACAGGCACCTAGAACCACAGCAACATAGTTGTAACACATTGCTCTCCTCAGGAGATTGCTCTGCTCGCCTCTCAGAACCTTGTGAGCTGATAGTCCCAGCTCAGACTGGGACTTGGGATGGTAGCCTGAAGAAGGAATTGAAAAAATAGATTCTATTTATTTTCATTAGAAATACTTTCCTTCTAGTTTGCTGTTATTTGCAAACATTATAATGCACTTTCTTTTGGATCCCATCTTTTACGAAAATCTAATATAAAGCACGTCCTAAAACTTTATACAATGCTTTTTTCTTTATTTTTGTGTTTCACAGAGTATGTATTTCATATATTTAGAATGAAAATAGGTTAGCTGGTGATATTCCATTTCTGGTTAATAGTGTCCCTGTATTGTAAAGTCATTCTCTGTGTATACTTGTACATAAAAAAAATTCCAAGAATAAAATACGTGAAGCTTGTTTTATTCTAAATACTTTAGGATGTGGGTGCATCTGGGTGAGAGGAGAGAATTTACAAAGTGCCCTTCTTTGTTTACACAGAGGGCGGCTGATACTTTGTGTAAAGGGATGTAAGTAAATATGTTAGGCTTTGTGAGCCAGCAAGTCTCTATTGCAGTTACTCAACTCTGCTGTTAAAATGTGACAGACAGCAGCTGCAGGAAATACAAATAGATGCGCCATGTTCCAATAAAACTATATTTACAAAGATAGACAGTGGGCTGTATTTGGCGCAAGGGCCACAGTTGCTCACTCATTTTATTATATAAGCAAAAGATTCATGGTTGTTACAATACTTTGTAAATCTATGAAATATTTTGCCTGTAGATAGTTATTAAGCCAGTAAAATTTATAAATAATAATTTTTATCTTCCAAACTTTGCTAAATACTTTCCCTGTGGTCTGTAATTCAGTCTTCATGTCTCACACACCTGTCCGCTGGGGCACGTGGTAGGGTCTGCCGTAGGGGCCGTACCAGCAGATACAACTAAGAAAGAGAAGCTGGGTAGTGCGGAGACACGGCCCAGGTGGAGATGCTGCACACGTCCCCCTTTGTGTCTGGTAGTACAGTCTAGTCTGTTAACATCACTCAGCGTGAGGCCAAAAGAATTAAAATCATTAAAGTCTGCTCATGAAAACAGGACATTTTAGGATTTAGGAAAATCTGTGATTTACTCTCAGTGATGTTAACAGTTCTTGAGTCTCTTGTTGCTGTGTGTCTCTGTACACCTGCTTGTAGGTTTGGGCCCCTCGGTTAGCTTATCTTGTTTCACAGGCAGAAAGACTCTCTGTGATGACGGCAGATCCAGCGAGAGACCCCCCCCCCGCCCCACATTGCTTGTGTACAGAGTGACAAGAAGAAAATAACTTGCTTAAGTGACTCCCATACTTGGGAAGGAGGGGAGAGCACCTCTGTGCCAGGGTTCTTTCCCTCGGCTCTACGAGGGGAAAGGACGGCAGAATCTCTCCTGTGAGCTGTGGCTGGACACTGACTGTGGGCTCCTAACACACACCAGGAGCCACACGTGTCAGCAGCCCCCACGCTGTCATCCTGCTTCCTGACCACATGGTTCAGAGGACACTCAGAGCAGGACAGCTACACGTGTTGGTCCATGTTTATGTCTGGTGTTTTTAGTTTTATGGAAGGCTTTTTCTTAATTATAGGAATAATGTGGGGCATTATTTATCTGTGAATCCATTTGGACAACAACTTGCCACAAATATGAATAATAATTGTGTGTAGTTGCTATTTACTAAGGTGGGCCATAGTATTACTTGCTTATTGTTTAACTGTTTATTTTGAAGTAGTTTCCAACTTTAAGTTACAAAATTAGTACAAAGGTCTCCCAAGTACAGACTTCCCTTGTTTTCATGCCCTTTTCTTATTCTCTCTCCTCCTCCTCTCTCCCCTCTGTCCTCCTTTCTCCCCTCTGTGTATTTGCTGTGAGTCATTAGAGAATAAATTGTTTGCCTCTTCAGTTTACACTTTAAGAACAAGACATTATTTTACATGACCTCAGTAAATGGTCAGAATATTGAACACGGATGCAAGGCTAACTACTAATCCAGAGTCCATATAAAACATCACCACTTGTCCCACTAACATTTGTCTGTTACAGTGATTTCCCCCAGTTCAAGATCATTCATTGCTTTTGGTTATTTTTCTTTCATGATTTTTTTTTAATCCGAGGAAGTTCCCCAGCTTCTCATTATCTTATATGACATTAACATTAAAATAGGTCAGTTGATTTATAGAATGTCCTTCTGTTAACATTGAAAGGTCAGTTGATTTATAGAATGTCCTTCAACTTGGGTTTATTTGATATTTCCTCTCATTAGGAACAGGTTGCACATTTTTTTGCCCGGAATCCCATAGAAGGTGGGGAGTCTTTGGTGCATCCTGTGTGGGGACGGGGTGGTTTGTGACCACCCTCCTGTGACACGGTGGTGTCCTTCAGTTTTCCCTGACCCAGGAGCTTGTGAGAAAGGACAGGTTCTTTCCTCATCAAACTTTCACCCAGTAGTTTTGTACACATTTATGATTCTTGCCCAAATCAATTATTTCTCTTACGTTTACAAAACTTTTACTTTCCAACCCCACCTTTCCACTGACACTGGCATTCCATGGGCAGAATCCCCACTTCTCTTCTTCTCATTAATTATTTGCTGTGAGTACAGACTTTATTCAATGAATCGCAATCCATCACTACCCTTACATTGAGCTGAGGTTGTTTAAGACCTGCCCAGTGCAGACAGCTTCAAGGTGGCTCCTACATTCTTTGGACAGGTTCTCATGATTTTTTTTTTTTTTTTCACTTTCTTACCATCCAAAAATTTCTCAGGACCTTCTATCTACCTGCCTCAGATCTACATCAGATGTTTGTCCAAGAGCCTTGATTTATCTTAGAAGAGAATGGCTATTGAGAAACTCCAACCTGGGGCCCAGGGGAAGCCATTGGGGTGTTATCAGTTTCAGAGCCTTTCAGAAGTGAAGATTTAAGATAAAAGTGAAGATAATGTGTAGATATGTAACTATATATTAAAATAATAAATTATCCTGATACCTTGAATTTCAAACCAACATCTCAGGCTTCCTTTTGCATCTCACACTTGTGTCTCCTTTCTCTGAAAGCTCTCCTGCTTCCCTGCCTGGTTATTAGAGGCTTTTTACTGAGGGCATTACAGTATGTATGTGTGTGTATATATATATATATATATATAGAGAGAGAGAGAGAGAGAGAGAGAGAGATTATACATATATACATGTACTTTGAGTGTATAAAATGCAGCACTGAGTCTGGTTTGCTACGAGTATTGCTAACTCCATGATAGCTGAGCATGAGCTCAGTAATTTATGAGCGTTATTTCACATTCTGATTTTGCAATAATTATAACATACACACCATCATCACTGCTTTACAGGAGAAGATACTTAGGCTTAAAAACTGCCTATAAACAGACATACGTAACAAAAGAAAACTTCCTTGCAGACCCTTAACTCTCACATAGAATACGTCCAGTATGCTGTTCAAATGTGTAACCCCTCTAAGCTCCAGTTTCTCCCTGATGTCAAGAAAAGAATATGAAGTCAGAATTGTTAGTTTTTTTATAACCTAACAACAAAAACCCAGTGGCTTGCTCTCCCGTTGCCCCTCACTGGGCTGATGAGAAAGGAGATTCCTTTCCCTCCTGTAGTCTGGCAGTGGAGGCCCCTGGGAGGCAGGGGCTCCCGTCTGCGTTTGCCTACGACTCTGAGACGGGGTCGATCCTGGGGAAATCTTTCCCTGGGTAGTAGCCACTTTCCTGGGATGAGGAGTTTCTAATATAAGCCCTAAGTCTTGAAGACTTGTAGGTGCTCAAAAGCCCGTTAAGCCTGAGCAGGTAAGATTTCATTCTGACAACCAGGTGGAAGCAGGTGTTACTCAGAGAGAGAAGGACGAGGAGTTCAGGTGTAGGAAAAGGAAAAGTGGGTTGAGGACTCTGGCCAAGGGCACTGAGGTCAGGACTTGCCAACGGTGTGAACAGTGGAGAAGCCGAATCAGGATGGAGGGAAGGGCGGGAAGGGCGGGTCCTCCATCCCCTGTGCCCGCCACGTCCTGCACACGGGGTGGTTTAGAGGCTGAAGCATTTGGGTGAGGAACACGTTTAATGCTGAAGGAAACGATGATGTTAGCGCCACTTACAGTGTTCATTTATTTCCTAGCTAGTGAAAATGTCGTGATCAATCATTTGTTCCAGTCGAAATTGTCACAAACAGGATCCCTCATATCTTCCTACCCTTCCCTTAAATTCCGAGGACATAGAGCCGCCCTGCTCAGTAAGAAAATGACTGCGTCTTCAGTTATCGGAGAAAACAAGAATTACCTAGAACTTAGTAAGGTAGGAGATTTTTGATTCTTGTTTGATCGTCTTTTAAGTTTATTTAGTATATTTGCTACTTCTTTTTGTAAAATAAATTTTAAAAACATGATTTTGAATATCAATAGAAAGAAGTTGATATTCTGATAGAAATAATTAAAGGAAAGAATGCCTACCTAAAGTATAGCCCTCAGAAAGAGGGAAGAGTGTAGGAAAATCTGTCTGTATCGTAACAATTAGTGAGTACAGCGGCAGTAATCGTACTGGTTGTCTGTGCAGCTATTTACGTTTCATTTCTATGACTGTCTTTTTTGTAGAATGGAAAGTAACTTCAGGGTCAGTAGACTTAGGATAAACTTAGCTCTCTTTTTCTGTTGATATTTATCACTTCAGAGGATTGAAGTCTTTAAACAGTACATTGTAATTTCTCTTAGAGGGTATTTTTCAGATGCTAGATTATTTTCACTGTGTACGTATGGACTTGTAATTATTTTGGTATCATACTAAATTTTTAATGTGTATTTGTTCTATGTGAGTTCAGTTGTATGTAAGGTTCCATTTGTAGAAGAGAAGGAAACACTCAGTGAAGAGTTCCCGCTCAGGCAGAGAGGGTTCAGGTTCCCGACGCCCTCACCAGATGATCCTCCAATTCGCTTTGCTCACGTCAAACTATAAAAGATGAGCTATGTGGTTGGACGGCATAGAGGACAATCAGTTTTAGAGATGCAGTTGTTACAGCTTGCTGGAATTTATTTTAGCTCACCAATTACATTAGAAGTATAATTAAAATTAATCCTATTTTAGGAGAGTGTCAGAAATGTGTATTAAAATGTGTTTTTGTGTTTGTCTTTAGCCAGTATGTCCTGGAATTAGGGATCCTTTGTTCTAAACCTGGAGGATCACAGAAATTCAGTCTCATCATGTAGAAAATGGCATCTTTTACGTAAAAAGAAAAAAGAGAAAAGGTTACCCTTCCTAGGGAAGGTCTCTAAGTTTACCTTTCCGAGGGAAGGTCTCTATTCCTGGAGTCTTGCTGAACCTCCTGGCCCTTTCTTTCTCAGTCATCCTTAAAGTCAAAAGCAAGAAATCATCATACACCTCTAAACTGTAAAGTTTAACCTCCATTATTAAACATTGCCAGTCCTACAAGCCATTAGCTCTTTCTCTAAAGGACTGCAAATGGAGATAATTCACAGTAGTTCCTCTACCCAGAAAGGAAAATTGGGTGTTCAATTTCAGGGGATGGAAACTTATTTATTATGATTATTCCTTAAGTGGTCCATTCCTCCCTTCCCTTCAAGCTGCCTTCATCCCTGCCTGCCCACCTGTGTGGCCAGGAAGATAAGGCTTTGCCACTCTCTAACTGAGCATTACACTCTGTGTTGTACTTACAGAAAACAGGCCGATCGATTGCTTGATCACAACTTGTCCTTGTCAGTTGCAATTAATCACTTTCAGCTCAACAATTCGTCCCCACAGGAGCAAATGAGCCACTGCCTGCTGTCTAACAGCATTGGCACTAAATTGACGAGAATGTTTTATCAGATTTTTTTCTTATTCTAAGACCTTTTTATTTCAAGGGAGATAATTTTGGAGCGATAGATAAGTTAACGTCAGTCTATGTGACTTAGTGAAATGTGAAAGGGCATGAGAGGCGGAGGCTCCTTTTAACCCCTGTGGGAATTTAATCAATCACCTTCTGCCCATCATTTCTTCACTCAGTGCCTCATTTGTGCTGATTATTTTATCTCCATTATCATTTAATCTTTGCTACATACAATTTTTTAAAAAGTTGTATTTAATTTCTTATTGAAGAAAACAGTCTATTGGCATTTTTCATAGACAGGTAATTTACTAACCAGTTTTACTAGTTATAAAAAAGAAGAAGAGGAACAAAATGGCAAAGCGTGAAACCCACACATCCATCCAATTCCTCATTGTAGTTCCATGTAAAGAAAGAAGCCAGGCCGCTCAGTCCTGTAATCCCAGCACTCTGGGAAGCTGAGGCGGGTGGTTTGCTTGAGCTTAGGCATCCAAGACCAGCCTGAGTGAGGATGAGACATGATTTCTACTAAAAATAGGAAAACTCGCTGGGCTACTCACCTGTAGTCCCAGCTACTCGGGAAGCCAAGACAGGAGGATCGCTCAAGCCCAAGAGTTTGGGTTTGCTGTGAGCTATGATGCCATAGCATTCTACCAGGGGTGACAGAGTGAGACTCCTCCCTCCCCCCCAAAAGAAAGGAAAGTAAAATGGAAAGAAAAAAAAGAAAGAAAGAAACCAATGATTGTTAAAGCATTGAATCTTTATAACATAAAAGGTGTCCCTTTACTCCACAGTGGCCTAAATGTCATGATAAATGTGACCAGTTAGCATCACGGCCAGGATACGGTAGTGAGTTTATTGTGCCACCAAACAAACCCAGATCTTTGTTTCTTCTCCAACTGAAGGGGGGTGTGGACGGTGGCAGATCTGACTCAGATAACTGCCCTGTCCTGGAAAGGCAGTAACACTGCCTATTGTTCTCCACTGACAGTAACATTACAAAAACCATTCGGTACTGGTATTTATAATCTGTGTTTTAAATCTATATTTGCCTGTAAGTAAATTGACATGGAAGCAAGACTTAGTTTTTCTCCTTCTAAACAGGAGTTTAGTAAAATAAATTTACTCACTTTTTTTTCTATCCTCCATTCCTTTTTGTTTATTTTTATTGCAGTTATTAAAAAAGAAAGGGACTTCCACATTTCTTCAAAGACTGGAACGCGGGGACCCAGTAACCATCGCGTCACAGCTCAGGGTCAGTGCTGTTTTCAGATTCCAAAGCCTCGTGATGCACGTTTACAGCAGCTGTAGAGGGTTTGCGTAGAATTGTTTTTCCCATTTTTGACCATGCGAGTAGCTTCAGAGGGAAGCCCAGGCACTACCGAGTGGGTGAATGGGAGATTACCTGGGGTCTGGACTAAGGCAGCTTTCTATTTACAAACAGCTTGGTGTCCTCTGTCATTGTCTTCTTTGGAGAATTAGTTGGGCTTTGTTCTCTCTTTAGAAATCACTCGCGGATATTACTGGGAAACTTCAGAAGTGCACTCCGCATTTTATTCATTGCATCAGGCCCAACAACTCAAAGCTGCCAGATACTTTCGATAATTTTTATGTGTCTGCTCAGCTACAATACATTGGGGTCCTGGAGATGGTGAAGATCTTCCGGTATGGATACCCCGTCCGCCTTCCCTTCTCGGATTTCCTCTCAAGGTAAATTTTTCTGCTTTGCGTCATCTTACATCACCGTTCCGTCTGTGGTCAGCAGAGCGGGTGGACGATGTCGTCAGGGCCTCTCAGGTTTCTTTCTGGGTGTTGCTTTTATTGCTTATATTCTTCCATCTTCAAGGAAAAAAACATACTCTGGGAAACAATGACACACTGATAAATTTTATATAAAAATTTTTAAACTTTACTGAAGATAATACCTTGGAAACCATTTTTATATTCTTTGAATGTGAGAATTTCTTTGGATTTCAAGATTATAAATTTATGGCATGTAATCTTCACATAAAATTCATGGCTTAACAGAAGAAGGTACGTTCAGGGTGGCCGTGAAGTCGGTGTGCAGTTGTAAATCACACACTGTTCCAAACTGCACACAAGCTGCATGGCCACCTGTGTGTGGTTACTTCCTCTTTTATACATGTAAACACTTTTTAGACGTAGGACTGAGGAACTACACTGGTGGCCCACATATAGCCCACTGCATGTTTTTGCAAATAAACTTTGGTTGGAACATAGACACAAACATTTGATTCCATGTGGTCTGTGACCATTTTTGTGCCACAACAGTGGCACAAAATTTATCATCTGGCCCATGAAAAGTTTTGTGACCCCGGTTTTAGATAAATTCACCATAAAAGTAGTCTGTAGGAGACAGTGCACTGATGACCAGGATGAACTCCTGCTGCCTGGGCTCACCTCTGTGTCAGGCGAGCCCTTCTCCCACTGCAGCTCTCGGCCATTTTCAAGGCACACCTACACCCAGAAGCAATATCACCCTCTTAGGTATGTGTTTGTTTATATGTGTTTTTATTTAATCAGAAAAATTTGTCTGATTTTTACCAAATTTATAATACTTACTGATGAATTCATTATAGAGAAATTTAGCCAAGGGCTATCAACATAGTTTTCAGATGTATGCCAATGAGAATTATTCTAGACCAGATCTTTACTGAGGTATATTGCTGTGGGCAAACACTTTAGCTTGATAGCATCCCTAGTTTGGACAGGTGGACACAGATACAAATAAAGCACATTCACTGCCTTTAATGGTTAGAATGTGTACAAAGTATTAAAGAAGCACAGGAAGAAGGCAATTTGGGATGAGAGATGGCTTTTGAGTAAAGATATTAATTTTGGTAAAAATAATGAGAATATCTATTTTTAGGTCTTCAAAAAATAAAAGGGGGTGAGGAAAAAGAAAATGAGAAATCTCTCAGTAATCCCATTTAATGTAAGATGAAATTTTAAAATAAAGTTCATATAAAATAATATCAAAACCACAACTGCAAAATTTGGCAATTATATTTAAAACTAATAGTACAACTATAGTATGAAATAAACATTTTATTTGAATAAATCATTTATCTAAAAAAGAAATTTTCAAACTTGTTGACTAATTCAATGTGAGCCAATCATTTTAAGCCACTCATTTAAATAAGCAAGCAAACAAACTTAAATCACTAACTTTAAAATATTAAGTTTGGAACAAAGAACCTAATATCTGGACTATTGCTAAAATTCTGAGATCAATTTTTATGAGACTTTTTTTTCCAGAAGAAACAAGCAATATATATTTAATATGTATTTGGGTAAATTTCACATAAACAGGAAAACCAACATGATATGAGTTCAGTGTGAGCCGCCCACTTCACAGGGACTGATAGAGGGAAGGCAGACCTAGTCCCACCGGGAAGGGATGTGTTTAAACAGAGGACTATTTCAGGTAGACAAGATGTTTGTGCTTAAAATGTGAAAAGTGCTTATAAATAAAACAGTAGACACATTGACTCTTCGTTTATAAGGCATAACCACAAGGTTAGGTATAAATAAGGGCTGAGTATAATAATTAATGGAAAGGAGTGGTGAGGTCACGTCACTGAGTCACTGATGACTGCACATCAGGGGGCGTCTGGAGGGATGGCTCTTGCCTGCCTCTCCCTGGTGGGAACCATTTACAGTCTCCATAGGTGGTGGCCTGTTGGAACGTGTATTGCTTACATGTTGGACCTAGTTTGTGTGTTAAAGGTCAGCTCTCGCACCCTTTGAAGTACAGGTGGTTGGTCTTTGAGTTGAGTTTCAAATCTGCCCATGCGAAGGTTTAAAATAACAGATTCCTAAAATGTACCCTTGGCTTTCTGAATCAGAAGCAGTGGGGCGTAGGATCCGACACTCCCTGGTTTGTAGCTCCCGAGGGAACTCAGTCGCCACAGGGTGAAGAACAGAAAGCAGTGCTAGAGCTGGGGTCAGTGGTCATCTGCTGCAGTGGGTCTCGGCCCTGCGGGGCTTGATACACCGCAGTTTGGTTAAGGGCGGTAACTACCCTCCTGGGCATTGCCTGAGATAGGAGGTCGCCAACATCTGTGGCACCAGAATCCCTGAGGGGCTTGTGAAAATACAGACTCCTGGTAGTGCCCCCAGAGTTCGGATTCAGTAGCTCTGGGTGAGGCCTGTGAGTTAGCATCCCTTACCTGTGAGTTAGCATCCCTTACCTGTGAGTCCCTTACCTGTGAGTTAGC